CTGCTATCAGGACCCACAGAACCCTAGAGCACTGGGGTCGCTGAAGTTCCTGCAGGGAGCTCAGCGGAGGAGGAAAAGCAGAGGGAGGGGCGACTCCTCTACTTTGCCCAATTTTCTACAATGGCCACAATTTGAAAATCTCCTGGCTCTGCCTCCCAGCCTTCTCCTCACATGCAGCCACGGGGTCCCCCATGCCCTCTCTTCCTCTGGACCTCCCAGACCCAGTGTCTCCAATTTTCTCAATCAAACTGCTGAGAAAGAATCAAGTTTATTCAACCCACCAGGACAGCAGCCACTGTCTGTGGGGCAGAGGCCAGCCCAGCCAGGCTCCAACCCAGCTCTTTGGAAGGACCCCCGCCCCCATGCACTCAGTGAACCGGGGCTACTCCATATGCGGTACTGACCTGGTACCCAATGCAGTGCCTGGCGCTGTGTGCGGAAGATTCCGAGCAAGCAGCAGGGGTGTGGCAGGAGCAACGTTAACCAGCCCAAACTGGTTATTTACCTTGTTCTGAAAAAGAAAAATATAAGGGTGAGTTGTAGGAAATGGCATCAAGTTAGAATTTCTTTGTGATACCAGCAACACTTCCAGATTCAGTACAACACAGGAAATGAACAGGAAACAAAAGAGGTGCTCGTGGAAAGGTCTTAGGAAGCAAACTCCCCAATGGAAATAACCTACTTCAATCTAATTTGTGAAGAATTTAACTTAAAACTCATATTTTATTTTTTAAATAACGTCTTAATTTTTTAATTTACATCCAAGTTGTTAGCATACAGTGCAATAATGATTTCAGGAGTAGATTCCTTAATGCCCCTTACCCATTTAGCTCATACCCCCTCCCACAATCCCTCCAGCAACCCTCTGTTTGTTCTCTATATTTAAGAGTCTCTTATGTTTTGTCCCCGTTTTCATACTATTTTTCCTTCCCTTCCCTTATGTTCATCTTTTTTGTATCTTTTAAAAAAATTTTTTTTAATGTTTATTCATTTTTTGATAGAGACAGAGCGTGAGTGGGGGAGGGGCAGAGAAAGAGGGAGACACAGAATCTGAAGCAGGCTCCAGGCTCTGAACTGACAGCACAGAGCCTGAAGTGGGGCTCAAACTCATGAACCGTGAGATCATGACCTGAGCTGAAGTTGGATGCTTAACCTAGTGAGCCACCCAGGTGCCCCATTTACTTTTTTATTTAAAAATATTTTTTTTAATTTTTTTTTTCAACGTTTATTTATTTTTGGGACAGAGAGAGACAGAGCATGAACGGGGCGGCAGAGAGAGAGACACAATCGAAATAGGCTCCAGGTTTTGTTATCAGCTCAGAGTTCTAATGTCAGGTCAATCAATGACCATCAGGATCGTGACTCGAAGTCGACGCTTGAATCACTGCCGCGCCACTCAGGCACCCCTATTTAAAAATATTTTTAATGTTTATTGTTGAGAAAGAGAGAGACAGAGAGAGAGAGGGAAGGGCAGAGATATGGAGGGACAGAGAATCCCGGCGTGGCTCCACACAAGCATTGAGCACGACGCTGCCCGAACCCACGCATTGAGATCGCGATCAAGTCGACGCCTTCTCACCAACTGAGCCACCCAGGCGCCCCTTCATCTTTTTTGTATCTTAAGGCCCTCGTATGAGTGAAGTCATATATTTGTCTTTCTCTGACTCATTTCGCTTAACATAATACTCTCTAGTTCTATCCACATCCTTGCAAGTGGCAAGATTTCATTCTTTTTGATTGCCGAGTAATACTCCATTGTATATGGATACCACATCTCCTATATCCATTCATCCATCGATGGACATTTGGGCTCTTTCCATACTCTATTGTTAATAGCGCTGCTATAGACATTGGAGTGCATATGCCCCTTCGAAACAGCACTCCTGTATCCCCTGGGTAAATTCCTAGTAGTGCAATTGCTGGGTCATAGGGTAGTTCTATTTTTATTTTTTTGAGGAACCTCCATACTGTTTTCCAGAGTGCCTGCACCAGCTTGCATTGCCACCAACAATGCAAAAGAGATCCTCTTTCTCCACATTCTTGCCAACATCTGTTGTTGCCTGAGTTGTTACTGTTAGCCATTCTGACAGGTGTGAGGTGGTATCTCATGGTGGTTTTGATTTGTATTTCCCTGATGATGAGTGATGTTGAGCATCTTTTCATGTGTCAGTTGGCCATCAGGATGTCTTCTTTGGAATAGTGTTTATTCATGTCTTTTGCCCATTTCTTCACTGGATTATTTATATTTTTCAGGGGGGGTGTTGAGTTTGGTAAGTTCTTTATAAATTTTGGAACTAACCCTTTATCTGCTTTTTCATTTGCAAATATCTTCTCCCATTCTGTCGGTTGCCTTTTAGTTTTGCTGATTGTTTCCTTCACTGTGCAGAAGCTTTTTATTTTGATGAGGTCTCAATAGCTCGTTTTTGCTTCTGTTTCTCTTGCTTGTAGAGAGATGTGTTGAATAAGAAGTTGCTGCAGCCAAGATTAAAGAGGTTTTTGCCTGCTTTCTCCTCGAGGATTTTGATGGCTTCCTGTCTTACATTGAGGTCTTTCATCCATTTTGAGTTTATTTTTGTGTCTGGTGTAAGAAAGTGGTCCAGGTTCATTCTTCTGCATGTCGCTGTCCACTTTTCCCAGCACCACTTGGTGAAGAGACTGTCTTTAATCTATTGGATATTCTTTCCTGCTTTGTCAAAGATTAGTTGGCCATTGTTTGTGGGTCTATTTCTGGGTTCTCTATTCTGTTCCATTGATCTGAGTGTCTGTTCTTGTGCCAGTACCATACTGTCTTGATGATTAGAGCTTTGTAGTGTAGCTTGAAGTCTGGGATTGTGATGCCTCCTGCTTTGGTTTTCTTTTTCAAGATTGCTTTGGCCCTTCGGGGTCTTTTCTGGTTCCATACAAATTTTAGGATTGTTTGTTTTAGCTCTGTGAAGAATGCTGGAGTTATTTTGACAGGGACCACAAAAACCGTATTTTAAATGTGAACAAATTGAATGATAAAAGCATAATTCTTAAAAGATAAAATACTTATAATCTTATAAATACAACTTCCAAATTCATATCTAATTAGAAAAAGAATTAGAGAATAAGTTACAAAAGAAAGAGAGGAAGGAAAGAGAAAGAAAAATTTTTACAGATATTAAGAAGCTTTAAAGTACTTGATGTTAACTGAACTACAAAACCATTATTCCATTAAGTAATCCAACTACTGATGTACTAAGTTTTAAAAAGTTGGTATTAAAAGAAAAAAACGAACCAGTAAGACACTCTGATCCAAAGAATGATCAGAAAAACGTTTAAACAGGAAAAAGCAGAACTACCTTATACCTAGGTAATTATGTAAACTAACAAATGTGATCAAAGCCCAACCGGGTTCCCAAAAAGTGTTCAACCATTACTTATGTTTACTCAGGTGCTACCAAGCAAGATCCAAAAAGGACCCAGAGGCAGAGCCTGAAAAGAAGGTCAGAGATCAGCTACCTGCGCTCGCTCTTTCTCTGGAACCACGAAGGCAGGCCCAGGCTAAAAGGGGACCAGTGAAGGAGACCACTGGCTGGCACCCTCACACCACTGGGGATGGCACCTCCCAGCTTATGCTGCTGGGAAGGTGAGCTGGCCTCTGAAATCCAGCCCTCAGGGGGTCTCCCCTCCCTCTGCCAGGAGGTGGAGGCCTGGCGGGGAGGCACAGCGGTGGCAGGCCGCGTTGGATCTTCCGTGTGCCTCCCGTTAACTACAGTAGCCACCACACCGGTGAGAACTGTAGAGCCTCTGCTTGGGGAACCTATGAACCGACATGCCAACCGTTTACTTTGGCAGCTTCCCCAGTTTTACCCATAAACTTTAAGTCGTGGCGGTGCAAGAGGCCGGACACCCCACCACTGTCCCGCTCACAGCCCTCCAGAACCACTGCCAGAACCCCTGTCTTTAGAAGCAGTCTTCCTCCACGCTCCACGCAGGAGTAGAAATGGAGAGCGGGACTCGAATCTGCGTGAGGCCTCGGAAGGGAAGGAAGGGAGACCCCGAGGGCAGCCCCCGACACGAGAGAGGAGAAACGGGTGAGGAAGTCCGGGAGAGGGGATACCCTCGGGAAGGGAGGAGAAAAGGACCGGGGAGGGAGCACCCGGGTGGGAGACCCCGGCGACGGAGACCGAGGAGGGAGACCCGGGAAGGGGAGGCCGGGGGCGGGTGGGTACCCCGGGTGCGAGATCCGGGGAGGAAGACCCCGGGGACAGAGACCGAGGAGGAGACCAGGAAAGGGGACCCCCGGAAGGGGAGACCCCCCGGAGGGAGCCTCGAGGCCCGGCGCCTTTCGCCCGAACCTCGAGCAGCGCTCACCTGGACGAGGCCCGACAGCGGTGCGTCTGGTTCTCCGGCGCTGCGAGCCAAGGAGCGGACAGGGACGCACCTTACCCGCATCCCTCTCCAGGCGGCAGGCCCGCCCCCAGGGCGGGGACCGGGAGGGGACGAGGACGAGGACGCGGTCGGGCGCGGGGAGGGTCTTGGCTGTCCGTCGCCCTCTCAGGAGGGCCGCCGCGGCGGACGCTGCCCACACCGAAACGCGTCCCCCTGAAAGGGGCGGAGCCTAGGTCCCGTCGGCCCCCGGTGGCGCAGTGCGCATCGGGATTTGTAGGACGGGGCAGACCCCGGTCCCGTCGGCCCCCTGGCGGCGCAGTGCGCGTCGGGATTTGTAGGACGGGGCCGGCCTGGGTGCCGTCGGACCCCGGGCAGCGCAGTGCCGGGTCGGAGGCGGGAGCGATGCCCGCGAGTCACATTGTCGCTGGGCGGCGCTGTGCACGCAGCAGTGAGGAGGGAGAGAGGGAGGTGGGGTCCCATGGGCCCCCGGGCGACGCAGTGCACGCTGGAGAGGGGCGGGGCCTGAGGGGTGTCGTGGGCCTCTGGGTGGCCCTGTGCACGCCGGGTGATGGAGTTCCCCTGGTGGGACCTGCCTCTGTGCCCCTGCGCCCCTTCCCCGGCAGGTGTCCCGGGAGCGAACGCCGAGGACGAGGACAGCGCGGCCGAGCCGGGGCCCCTGCGCAGACGACCGGAGCCGGCGAGAAGCTGGGGAGCGCCGGGGAGAATGGTAGGTGGCCTGCGGTGTCGCCTGCCGCCGAGTCCCTTCTGCGTACCTGGGGGCCGGGGAGCGCTGGGAGGCGGGGGTAGGGGGGCGCTGGGCGCAAAGGTCACGGGGGCGGCGGGGTCTCCGCCGGGCCTCCGGCCCTGGGGGCCCTGCAGGGAGGCACGCAGGTGGGAACCTGACGGGTGTCTGACGAAATGGAGGCACCGAGCGAACAGCGGAGTGAACCGTGCCTCTGCGGAAACGCGAGCAGCCAGTGAACGAGGAGCGAAGGACGTTTTGGGCAAACTAGCAACTTGTCGATGAAGCGGGGAAGGTAGCGCTTTTGAGCATGAGCACGAATCCGTTGTGGCTAGCAGGTGGAATTGAGAGTCAAGGAAGGGAACACTGCACAAGCAGCCTTGTATTCCGTGCTGGGGACTGTATGGTTTATCCAGGAGCTGATGGGAGCCATAAAAAGTTTTTGAGAAGGCGAGGTGTGTGTGATGTGACCACGTTTGTGTTTTGTCAAGAGGAGAGGAGGATTTGGATCAGAGCGGTCAGGGCTGCAGGGGAGACCAATTAGGAAGCTGTTGTAATAATCTAGGTGGGAAGAGGTGAAGACTTGCATCAAAGATTTTCTGTCGGAATGAGAAGGATGAGAGGAGGCAGAGGGAGGACCTTCACTGAACTATTCAGACGCGGCTCGGGTACCTGAGCAGGTGGTGATATCATTGACCAAATTAGGAACTGTAGAAGGAAGAGCAGGTTCACGTGGGAAAACAACGCAGTAGGGATGAGAGGAGAGAGGAAATCTCCTGGCTGGTCGGACATACGGATCCGCAGCTCAGAAGAGGGGCTTCGGGAAGCACACGCCTGTTTTGAAATGTAGTGGAAACCATGGTAGCCGGTGGGTTTCATCGTTTATTCAATAAATTCAGAGGTTTCTCTGTGCAAGGAAGGTAGTGTACACGGTGCTGGGGGTTGATGGTGAGCAGACACGTGTGGGTTTGGTGTTCACGGAGCCGATGTCCTAGCAGTGAGACAAGCACGACCGTTTTACTACAGTTGGGATAAGGGCTGGGGAGAGGCACAGGTTCTGGGAACGTATGGGGTGGGTGAGTGGCGCCGGATGCTGGGGCAGTGATGGCAAAGCCACAGTAACGGGAACTGATGCTGTGTGGGCTGAATTCTCCAGACCGAGTGAGGTGGGGAGGGCAGCCAGACAGCTGCGGTCCCCTGGGCAGCAGGAACAAGCTCGGTGATAAGTCCCCAGAATTGGCAGATGCGGCTGCCTACGGAAAGTGCAGAGTCAGGGGAACGTGGCCCGTGGGAGGCTGCTGAGGGAACTGGAGTCAGGTTGTGCAGGGTCTTCTGGGGCTCAGGAAGAACATGCTCGCTTTTGTCCTCATGGTAGTGGGAGGCTGGTGAGCAGGTTTCCAACAGGAGAGAGATGGTTTGGGAGGAGTGTGTAGGGCAAAGAGCAGAGGCTTGAGGGCAGAACTCGGGGGGTAAAAGCAAAGACGGAGACCGAGAAGGGCTGCCCAGAGAGACAAGAAGACTGAGAGAGTTGGCTCAGAAACCAAGAGGGAGCTCAGTGGGCAGTGCGGCCGGAAGTTTCTGGATGACCCTGGTGGCTCAGCGTGCTGCCCAGGCAGGATGCACCCACCACAGGAGGGGAGGGAAGGGGAAGGGCTCAGTGCTTAACCAGCGGAAGAGGACCTCGTGGTTAGTGCACAGGGGGGAGGTCCGAGAGTGGATTTTAATCTCACCCCCGGCCTGCTGGATACCAAAGCGGAAAACTGGAGCAAGTTTATGTATTTGACCCATGTGGTTGTGCTGACCGCCCCTTGGAATTTGGCCTTGAGGATTCTGTCGTGTTAAGTCTCTACCGAAGGCATTGCAAGAACTTTTTTTCCTTTTGTATATGGGCAGTCTTGGTGCCCAAATTATGTAAGTGATTTTTTTTTCAAGGTCACAGTTAAAATGTTTTAGACTTTATCTGTAGTTTAGAGACTTTATTTGATTTTCTACTGGATTGTCCATACTTTGATTTCAAGAATTTTGTGTGTTTTGGGGCACCTGGGGGCTCAATCGGTTAAGCATCTGACTCTTGATCTCAGCTCAGGTCATGATCTCATGGTTCATGAGTTCCAGCCCCACGTTGGGCTCTGCACAGACAGCGCAGAGCCTACTTGGGATTCTGTCTCGCCCTCTCTTTGCCCCTCCCACACTTGCACACGTGTGTGCACTCTCTCAAAATAAATAAACTTAAAAAAAGAAGTTTGTGTATTTTAACAAAGTATGACAATTGAACTTACACCTCCCCCCCACCACACACACTTAATTTAATTTCTTTGCTGTAGTAAAGCCTCAATGAGGGCCACCAGAGCGTGAAGGACAGGCCCTGCCAATTTATAGGCCTTTATTAATTTTACATGGATTTAGTCTGTTTTAATGGATCCAGAGTTTGCTTCTTTCCCCTGTAATTTTTCAGTTTATGAGGCTTTTTTTTTCTAGAAAGCTTTATTCCTTTTTCTACAGATTCCAACTTAAGTCTCTTCGTTCTTTTTGGACATGAATGAAGCATGCATAGTTTTTATACTTACTGATTATTGTTTTAATCACCATTCTTTTATGGAGAAACGTGTAAGGGGTCACATCAAATTGTTGCATATTTGCTGACAGTCCTCTTCCGTTTCTTCCGGCCACAGACTTAGGGGTTAAGCTTAGACCTGAGGCTGCTGTTGCTCATTCAAAACCAACACGCTATGGAGTGCCTGGGTGGCTCAGTTGGTTGAGCGTCTGACTTCGGCTCAGGTCATGATCTTGTGGTTCGTGAGTTCGAGCTCCATGTCGGGCTCTGTGCTGATATCTCGGAACCTGGAGCCTGCTTCAGATTCTGTGTCTCCCTCTCTCTCTGTCCCTCCTTCCCATGCTCATGCTCTCTGTTTCTCAATAATAAATTAACATTAAAAAAAAAAAAAAAACACCTTAGTACCACTCTGAGACTCAGCGTTGTGGGATCTGACCTTTAAGGCACCTGGAGTAGATTGAGGAGGGATCTGTTTGTTTCTCTATCTGCTGGTCTCCCCGTTTGGTAACTGACATAGGAACAATTCAAGTCACTTTGCCTGGCTTGGGTCCATATACTCCTGTACCTCTCTTTCTAGAGTTTTCAGAGAGTATTTTCCTTTACACTGTTGATATAACTCTTTTGTCACATGTTAGGAGAAGCTTTAAGACGTGATTATCAAAATACCTCAAGATCAGACAGCACATCTTCCAGACGTCTGACAACATTTACTTGGCACGGATCTGTCAACATATAATGCTAGTTAACTAATTCAGTTACCTTACAGTACGTTACTGTGTTGAATAGTCTTGGAGGTTCTAAGAGTACTATGTTCAAATTTTGTTTTGAAGTAAAATCCACATAAGATTAGCTATTTTCAAATGTACAGTTCAGTGGCATTGAGTAGAATCAGTGTTGTGCTGTCTCTACCTGCATCTAGTTCCAAAACACATCATCACCCTCAAAGAAAACCCTGTGCCATTGAATAGTCAGTCTCCACTCACCCCAGTCCCTGGGAACCACCTGTCTGCTTTCTATGGATTTGCCCATCTGGATATTTCATATAAGTGAAATCACACAACATACAACATGTGGCCTTTCATGTCTGACTTATTTTACTTGGTGTGATGTTTCCGAGGTTCATCCCTGTCGTAGCATGGTCAGAGTTCGTTGTATGTTATTTTATTTTATTTTACAACCATGACAGAATTTTAAAATGTTGCACTGGTGGCGATTTACATGATACAGATGTCACGAGCATTTCTAGTGATGCGCCAGGTGGGGGACAGACATCTGTCTCCAGTTTAGTTTCTGAGGGAGCCCTTGGCTTTGTCCACCCTCCCCTGGGGAGCCCATCACCTTCAAAAAAGATGTTTTACCTTTTGTCAGCTCACTGTCAAAGCATATGGGGGCTGCCCTAATTTAGCTAAATTTTATCTTAACCAGAAGATATAACCCCAGGCTCTTTGTCTAGTTTTTTAAGTGGCTCAATTTTAGGAAATAGCATACAGGGTATACATTCTGTATATTCCCCTAGAGTCTAGATTGGGACTGGAAGCCACAGCCCACAGGCACATTGCCTGTGTGTCAGTAAAGTTTTATTGGTGCAGAGCATGTCCATCATCCACACTGTAGAGCTGAGTAGCTGCAACAGAGACCAGTGACCCCTGATGTAGCTCCCTGGGCCTTGTAACCTGAGTTTCACCTTCCCTTACCCTCTGAGGAACTAATGGGCTCCAATGATGTGTGAAAACCCCAAAATTTTATGCAAAACCACACGCTTTACTGGAGAGACGATCTGTGATTTTCACCAGATTCCAGAAGGGACCCAAGACCCCAATCATCAACAGTCATTGTTCTAAGTAGCCAAAAGGCCAGTGCCCCATGTTACACTAGATCAGCAGTTCTCAGACTTAATTAGTTCTAGTCCCCTATGCGCTTTAAAAAATTGGGGCGCCTGGGTGGTTCAGTCGGTTGAGCGTCCGACTTTGGCTCAGGTCATGATGGTTCATGAGTTTGAACCCCACATCAGCAAGTCATGTGGCCTCTGCTTCACCCCAGTGAGAGTGAGAGAAGCAGATAATGACTTGGGGTTGTTGCGAAGATAGTTTTGTCCTTGGTGGAACCCTTGTGCAGTCTCGGGAGCCTGGGGTGCCCAGACTGTACCTGGAGAGCCGTGTGTTTGATCCGTCATTCTGCTGAACTGCACTCTGCTGTTTTGGCTTCAGCACGCTGTGAGGGAGGCCGGAGGAAGCTAAGCAGCTCTGGCCACCGTGCTGTTTACCCTTGGCGTTGGGGGGAGGAGTCGGTCTGGGACAGAGGACACACGCTGCAGTTACCCTTTTGTGAGCCGCACAGAGGCTGCTCTTTCGCGGTTCCGTGCCAGGAGGAGCCAGGCCACTGCTGGGCCACTGGTAGGTTTTTAAATCTTACGAAAACAGATTTCCTAACTAATCCTGTTTTCTTTTGTGGTTTGGCGGCCGGGAGGCTGAGCCGAATTTCAGCCCGCTTCCAGCTCTTGTGTCTGGTGCGCATGTCTGAATCTCGTCCCCGACTCTCCTTTTTTCCTCCTCAGTTTCCCTGGCTCCATGTTGTATTCCACTGCAGGTTTCCGGAAGGTAGAACTTATTCTGTGTGTTTTTATAAACTGTCTCATCCTTTTTAGCACAAGATCAAGAATCCCTCCTTTTACGTGAAACTTCCCCTTCTGTTATTTTGTAAAGCATTTGTGTAAAGCATTAGCATCCAGTAGATTGTAGAGTCTGTGTTGATTTACAGAAAGTGGTGATTCACTGAAGGTGGTGATTCACTTTCATTTCTGGTGCCCTCTTCATCAGGTTACCTTACCTTAGATAAGTAGAAATTTAGCCGACCCCTGCCTGGAAGCGCTAGAATGCTATTTTGTTTCCTTACATACTATATATAGCGTGGTTACTGGCTGGTTTGCTATTTTCTGCCTGCCCCAGCCTCTGCCCTGTGTTCCCATTTTTAATTTCTGGCTCAGGTGCACAGATCTGTTTGTGATTCATTTAGTCATAACCGGCTTTTTGTGGCTGCTTTTGGAACTTTAGTAAGTTATGCTTAACACTATTCTTAGTTACCTGTATATGTTTTCATCAGTATGACTCTGCTGATTTTAAACTGGGAAAAATCTAAATGATGTTTCCAAACTGTACAGCCCTCATTAGATCCT